TGTTTGTGCTAAGAGAATTTGTCTGCCACCTTTATTGCCAGGAGAATGTGTGCGCGTGCGTCTCTGCGTGTCTGCCATAAGGAGGGAGCAGCCTTATATACAGACTTACAGCACAGTGGAGAAACCCCAGGTGTAAGAGCTCGTGTTTTCCTCGTGCTAGATATTGATGTCAGGTGGGCAAGGCCAGGGCTGTAAGCCAGGACTAGAGAACAGGATGCAGCTGTGGCTATCAGCTGACAAGAAATGCACAGCAATCTGTGGGGGCTGGGGCCCAACAATGGGTCACTGGGCTGTCATATCAGCCAGGTGGAGGTGACAGGGAGTGACCCAGACCACAAACCACAACCAGAGGCCTCATCCTTTGTTTTGTGCTGTGCTTCCAATGCCTGTAAACTCCCACGCCCTCCTTAAGTGGGGCATGGAGGCTTACACCTGTCATCCGAGCACTCCTGACACCCAGGCAGGAGGAGTGTGCCTTCAAGGCTAGCCTGGGCCACACAGTGAAGCCCTGTCTCGATAGCTCCCAGGGATAACCCACCCCCGGAAAAAACCCCAGATTTCCTCAGTTGGTGATTTCCTCGAGACCAGACATTATCTTCATCTCCCATTGCATCTCTCTTAGCTGGGGGACACCCAGTATGGTGGAGGAGACTGCATAGACAGGTGTGGAACAGCCACATGGGCACTTTGGAGACAGCGGGGTCCTCCCTCTCCAGGTACCTCTAGCTGCAGCTTGCTGTGGGTCCTGCTACAACGTTTGCAGGTGGCTGAGCTCTGGGTGGGGCTTCTTGGGCGTTGCAGGGAGGACAAAGGGGACCAACATCTCGGTCCTGAAGCTGCTCTCATCCTATGTAGAGGACGCACCGTGTCATTGTGGGCTTCTCTCTCCTCATCCTGGGTGTGTAGGGGATTCACTGTGGCACCGTGAGCTTCTCTCTTTGTGGAAACAATCTTGGGAGAGTGCAGAAGAATGTTGAATGGCTGTCATGAGAGGTGACTCAATTCTAGGCTTGTCACTCATCCCAGATCCCTAGTAAGAACCTGTAAAGGGAAGCTTTTTCTTTGAGAGAAGCCTTCCCGCTAGCCTGATTCCAGAGCCGCATCAGTCCCAAATAAACACACAGGAGGCTATATTAATTATGAAGCTGTTGGCTTTGCTTGTTTCTTACTGGCTAGCTCTGACTTAAGTAATTACCCCATAATTGTTAATCTAAGTATTTCTCTTACCGGAGAATAGTTCCAGGCTTCCTACCCCATGGCGTTACATCTCGACTCCCTTTGTGTTTCTCCTACCCAGAGTCGTCCTGGACTCCTAGTCCCACCTATCTTGGTTCCCTATTGGCTCCACAGTGCTTTATTGACATAAGACTTCCCCAACAAGAACCCAAGTGTGTCATATTGACTGAAGACAGCATGGGAGATGCTGCTGATGGGGAGGTGGGTAGCAAGGATACAAAGCAGCTTAAGTCTTAGGGTCATAAGCAGAATAGAAAAGAATCATCCTGTGTTTGGACGCCCATCCCACAGTGAGAGATGCACTGTCAGCCTGGACTCTTGGGGGAGGGTCTAAGCCCTGCTTTGGATGAAATGGTCTCAGCCTCCCTGGGGAAATGAGGGGGGTATTGGGGAGGTTGGTGGGAGGAGGGGAGGGAAAGGGAGAGGGACCTGGGATTGACATGTGAAGCAACCTTGTTTCTAATTTAAATTTAAAAATTAAAAAAGAGTAAGAAGTAAATAAATAAAATACAGAAGTAGTGCCAAAAAGAATCGTGTGTGTGTGTGTGTGTGTGTGTGTGTGTGTGTGTGTGTGTGTGTCTAACAGGTGCTTGACAGTCTAAGCTGGACTCTTTTCCTTGTGTCAGCTTTTGGGAACTACAGAAACACACTGGAGAGAAGGTTTGACTGATAAGCTGCCAGCCAGGGAGCCTATTAAAATATTTTCCAACATGTGCTGAGTACATTTAGCAAGCCCTCCACAGGGACACATCTGCTGTCTTTAGTAACAGAAGGTGGGGGAGCCGTGTTCATTTACATCCCCGGGTATGGAGGGTATACAAGCTTGGTGGAGGCGGTGGGCAGTGGGGTAAGCGTTAGCACCCAGCGGCCCAGTCTCAGCCCTTGGTGTTCTGAGACAAGGTCTCATAATGCAGCTCAGGCTGCCATGGAACGCCCAAGCTGTTCAGTTTTGAACTTGTAATCCTCCTGCTTCCTGGGAGATAAGAACCGAGGAGGAATGACCACAACTTTAAACCTTCTTTAAACCTGGATCTTTGGAATCTCATTTTTTTAAATCCATATTTTACTAATTAGCTTTGTGAGTTTTGATTGATTAACCTGAAGGGGGATAACGCAGAATATTGAGCTACACAGGGTAGGTTGTCATATAATGTTTATTGAGCGGGGATTCACATGAGAAGCCAAGAACCTGAGGTCAGTGCTTTGCTGGTCTCCGAGCCTCGACCAGAACCCCAAGAGGAGAGTGTCCTCTTCCTCCTAGCTCGTTATGTCCCTGCCTTCTCCCACATACCTGTGGCCACGCCCAAATGGGCGTGGTTAGTGCTACAGGTACATAAGCTCTCTCACTACAGGGGAAATCTGTTCCATGAATTTTGTTGTTGTTTTGAGAAAGGGACAGACTGACCATGCTGGGATTAAAGGTGTATGCTACCACCACATCTGGCCCATGAAGTTTTTGGTTTATTTTGTTTTTGTTTTTGTTTTTTTTTTAACAGGCTTTCTCTGTGTAGCCCTGTCTGTCCTGGGACTCGATTTGTAGTCCTTGCAGACCTCGAACTCACAGATCCACCTGCCTCTGCCTCCTGAGTGCTGGGATTAAAGACAGATGTGCACCACCGCTACCACCGCCCAGCTGAGTTTTAATGGTTAACAAAATCATATGACTAGCCTTTGAGATCCACTGCTGGGAGAAAGGAAGGGGCCCAGAGACCTGTGTAGGGAATGTGGCTCTGAGGGACAGGTACCATGTCAGTGGGCCAAGGAGAGTTGTTGGGTCTTCTGCTGGGGAGCCTGTGCTGGCTGCTGTTGGCACGCTGGTGAGGCAGAGCTGCCTCTCCTGTTTCTGAAAACGGGATTTGCACCCCTTCCATTTTTTTTTTCTGGGTGGTGTGATCACTCTGCGCCTTTATTTTCTATTTAGGGTTAGGTATCGCTCAAGGGCCCAGTCTAAACATTTCTGCTAATATTACCTTTCTCTCATCATCACTTTGGTATTTTCTGTGTCAAAGGCCAATGCTTGGATCTATCATATAGCCCAAGTGGTAAAGATGCTTTCTGTCTAGCCTGAGGATTCCAGTTCAATCCGTAAGCCCCACATGATGGAAGGAAAGAACTCAGAGGTTGTCCTCTGACAGGTACGCGCACACACCGGGGCAAGCGTGTGCTTGCACACAACCTAGATAGGAATATATGAAAGCGCAGTGCTCATCTCCCTTACCCATGAGTACAAGGGTAAAAAGCAGCTCTCCTGACCACATCACAGCATTTGGGGATGGCTGCTCTGGCTTCTGGACTCTGTGGACAGGGCAGGGAATACATCCCACTAATAGACCACCTGCTATTATCCCGCCTAGAGTCATTGGGTAGGACTCAACTATGGCATCCCAATAGAGAGCCCATGTACGTTGTTCATGCAGATGAGCAACCTTGATGGATGAGGTAATGTCTCCCTCTGGGGCAAAGGGCAGGCTTGCTACAAAAAAACCAAACCAAAACAAAACAAAAAAACAGGCTGTTCAGCTTTCTGCTCCTCACCTGCAAAAAAATCCACCCTATGTGTCCCCCTCAGTGTGGGACTTTGCCTGACACCCACAGGCATGGAGGTGGGGTTGACAGGCTTGTGATTCATAGGGGTGATGCTGACATTGTGATACACTCAATTTTTGAAGATTTTTATTTTTAATATTTTAATAAGTGTATATATGTGTGGGTCTGTGCATGTAGTACCTGTGGGGACCAGAAGAGGGCGTTGGATCTCCGGAGGCTGGAGTTACAGGCGGTCTGTACAGGTTGAGCCAAGGGTGGGTACTGAACCAAGCCTGGGTTCTTTGCAAGAGCAGTACAGGTTCTTAACCTCTTGAACCGTCTCTCCAGCCCCCAAATTACCCTTTCCAGACAGTAGCCTGTCAACTTTTCAACAGCTAAGTTCTCCTTGGTCTATGAAGTAACCCACCATGCCTGCGGCTGGTAATTTGTGGGCAGCTGTTTTCCTAACTTGGAACAGAGCCACAGTTATTTACCAGGATTTAATCTCTCCATAGCTGAAGATGCCTCATCACCCCAGTGTGCTTGGTAATGGGATGGAACCTAGGACTCTGTGCATATGAGGCAAGCAGTCTATGCACTGTGTTGTAGCTGCAGCTTTTGGGCTATTTTTATTCTTTGATAGCAAAGTAGTTGTGACAGAGACTGTGTAACCTGTAAGTCTAGACTATCAGGTGTGTATCCCTTTAAGAACGTTTGCTGACTCCTGCAAGATGTCACTTATCTCTTAGGGAAATGGATCATCTTCAAAGGTGAGTTCGCCTATCTACTTAAGAGCCATGGTCTATCAGGATGTCTTTTCCTTTAAAACGGTTTTATGCGCATTTGTGTGCATGCAGGAGGCTGTGGCGGTCAGAGAGGCACTTGATCCCCTGAGCTAGTTACAGCTGGTTGTTGGCTACCCATGTGGGTGCTGGGAACTGAAGTGTTCCTGGCTACTGAGCTGTCTTCCCGGGCCCCGATGATTTGTCAGGAGTGGTATGTGAGCTTCCCAGGTGGAACCATAGATGAGGAAATGGTCCATTTTCACTGCTAGGTAGTGATTAATACTACACAGCAGCTACAAGGGTATCTGGTTGGGGCAGGGCTGACCTAATTAATATGTATTTCAGCCCCGAGTTTGGTTCCTAGCACGAAAAAAGCCACCGCAGACCCCATGAAGCAGCCACCTTCTTAGACCTTGTGAGGATTGCAACTTGTGGACCAAAACAAAAGACACATTCCCACTAAAACAGAAGTCGTTTTAATTCATTGAAAAGTGCAGCAGTGACAGGGTCCTTCAAAGGTCACTTCCTAAGTGAGTGGGGTGACAGCCAGGGCAGAGTGGCTTCTACAACAGGTGACGCTAATGAAGGAATTTACAAAGTCCATTGAACATAGATAGCATGCTGGTGAGCTACGACCGCAGTGGACCGTCTACCCCAGTGGTGCTCGGCTGAGGTACCCTCTGCTTTCTCTCGAGGAATCTTGCCCGTTTTCTTTTATTAAAAAAAAAAAAAAAGAAATTGTCTGTAGATAGTTACAAGTTTAGGGTTATTTCTCACAGGTTAAGGTGTAACTGCCATAGCCACCCTTACTATTTCATACAAGAACTTTGCACTGACAATTCAAAAGGTGTTTGCAACAGTACCCTTTGTTAGACCCAAAGACACTCTGAGAGGTTCCCCTACTGAGAAATTGTGTCTGAGGGACAGTTTTAAAGCAGGAAATCTTGTAAGGCAAAGCCCACATTCCAGATCGGTTTTACGGTTCTCTGTTTTGAAGAGCACCGGCGGACACGGCCGAATTCGCTTGAGTCCAGATTACAAGGCTCTTGCAGGGCGTCCCTTGTAGATGGGAAGCCGTGCGTGTTGCCATCTGTTAGGATAAACCGAGCTCCACTCCAGTGTTAGCAGGAACCGTCCCACAACTGAGAGGTATCGGGGACCTTACCATGTCCCACCACCCGCACGTGTCACCTGAATGTAAGGGCAGCGAGGTAGAAACGCGACTGGCAGCTGACTTGTCACTCTGACTTCACCTGCTTCTAGGAGCCAGCCACAAAGCTGAAGAATATGACATCACAGTCCAAGGCCTGGTACGAGCGGGTTACTTTTTATTTGGGAACAACTACGTCAACTTCCACTAGTGGCTGATGGTGTTTAGAATCAAAGTGGAGTGATTGAAGCCAGTACCCACATTCACTTTCGTAATTTAAAATGTTTTTCCCCTCTAGAGCAGCTACAACAGAGGTGTCCCTTCCATTGCCTGTGTCTCTCAGTGTCACTGCAGTTGTTGTGGTCACATGAGGTAGAGGCTATTACCCCAACATGGCCTCTGGGACCCCCAAAGCGACTTCCAGCTGTGGGTCCAAGTGTTTAAGCTGGAGGGAGGCTGTGTAAAGCTAAAATCACCCCCTGCTTGAGCAGAGCGGGCTCCAACCACACTTTGCTGTCCTAGGAGCAACCAGCCCTTCTGGGGAATGTCAGAGTGAACTGATCTTTAAGCTAAGGAACAGGAGGACATGGCTCCAGGCAGCCAGGAGCCTTAGACAGGGGAACACTGACTGGATCCCTAGTTATTCAAGACTCTGGAAACTCAAGAGCTGTCAAAGGAGGGGGGGGGGAAGTAGCTGGTTGGCCCTTTACAGCAACCATGAGACGCTGTAATGTTTTTAATGACAAGGGCAGCCAGTCACAACGATGTCATTTGTGGCACTGACGCATGAGACCCCTCCTCAGGACAGGCACTTCCATGGGCAGCCTCCAGCCTGCTCACCCCAGGGCCACCTGGGAAGTGTGCTGCCCTGCCCCGTGGTGTGCCTTCTCCCTGGTGCTTTGGAGCTCTCACCGGTGAGCTGGAGCCACTGAAGAGCTACCGGCTTCTAGAGCTCAGGCTTCTGACCCCATGCAGCCTGCTCTGTACTAGCACAGCCCAGGGTTCCAGCAAACTGGAGCAGAGCTTGGGTGACAAGCTGCACATTTACCACATCATGGTGGATGTTATAAACATCATGTCTCTACATCTCCACAAACAGTTCTTTCCAGGGCTGTGTATGTGTGTGATGGCAAAGGGCTCAGTCTGAATGCTATACAGGGCTGTTGACCTGGGGGTTAGGTACACTCCAAAAGGCCTTTTCTTTCTGCCCTAAAGTATTGCCATTTTATCGCAACAGTTTTACAGATTCAGACTTGACCATGTGGGATCATTACAGACTGTACCCACCCAAGATGAAGGGACATGGAGAGGACAAAGACCTCAGGAGTGTTGGCTGTCATTTGAAGGAAGAGACAGGGTCAGCCACTTCTGACATGGGATTGGATTCACAGTACTGGAAATCAGCTGACCCGGTTATTTTTCAAACAGGACTTGAAACAGCCAGGCCAGAGCTCTTCTGGGCGTGGGTTCCTACTACAACCACTTCGTGAGAAAGGGGTGTACGAGGATCCAACTGCAGAGGCTGGGCACCGTCACTACAGAGGGTGCTTCGAGAACCTTCTCGTTCTGACGCTGCCGTGATTGTTGAACATGAGACGCAGGTCAAACCTGTATCTGAGGGAAGGAAAAGAAGGATGTTACATGAACTCTAGCTAGCCACGAGGACTTTGACGGCATACTCTTCAGCAGAAAGCAGGCAGGAGGGGGAGGCTGTAATATAAACATGGTTTCTGAAGGTGAGATATTTCCACACAAGCTGTGAGAGAACAAGGTTAACGGTAAAAAGGAGGTTCTTAAAAAAACAAAACTCTACACAGCCCTGGCTGGCCTGGAAATATCTGAAATATCTATGTAGACCAGGCTGTCCTCGAACTCACAGATCTGCTGTCTCAATCTCCTGCGTGCTGGGATTACAGGCAGGAGGGCTAAGGGAGGAGAGTGCTGATGGATACAGCATCCGGGTGGCTGTGCTGACTCCTCAGAGCACCCTGCAGGCTCAGGTCTCTTCCTCCTGTATAGTCACCCTGCTCTGGCTGGTCTGTGCTCCAGCAGCAGAGACACAGGGTGGTTGGCCACATGTCCTAGTCCTAGAAAGTCCTTCTCTCTCCTTTCGATGGATTAGTTAGACCCTGGTTTTAGAGTCCCATGGCCAGAATATATGGTTAAAGGCATTGAATCACAAAGTTGGCCTGCGTGAGCCAGACGTCTGCTTTTGAGAACAACCTACTCAGAGGGTGGAGGCCGGACAGAGAATGACTGACTAGCTTCACTACAGTCACTTGTTAAAGATAGATGATACAACGACAAACACTGTCTTTTATGCTGCCTCGCTGTTTAAATTTTCTTTTCACGTTAGCAAGGCATAGTAGTGCACCTTTAATCCCAGCAGCACCCAGGAGGCAGAGGCAGCCTGGCTAATACAGAGACCTGTCTCAGAACAAAGAAAGAACTCCAAGCTGGGCCTGACCAGAGGCCCCATGAGACGCGGGGTGCTCCACTGTGAGCATGGACTCTGTTTGTGGCTGCATGTGTATTATGTAAGTCACTCCATGACCTAGTCTCTCATCGTCATTCATCTCTAACTCGGAGACCACATAAATCCAACGTGAAGAAGGCTAAGTTACACCTTGCCATCACCTGGCAACCTCCCCTCCCTCACCCCCACGAGACCACTTATAAGAGATGAAATAACAACAGCATGCCTCTTGGCTGCCGGTGTCCTGAGACGGGATCCAGAGAGTGAGGCACATATGACCTTGCAGTTGAGAGTTGGGCACTGCCGTTCAGTCAACACACTGTAGTGGGGTCTGTTTTAGCATCTGAGTTCACACTTCGGATTTCCAAGAAATGAAGCGGTCTGCTCTTGGAAGCGCTGGGACTGGGGCAGCACTGAGCTAGAGCTGACTGTTTGACCAAGCAGAACTCTGGGGACAGGAAAGAGGGGCCACAGCCACGGGCAGTAGAGAGCCAACTCCAGCTTAACAAGCTGACTCAGCAAGAACACAGCATTTCCTCAGAAAGCAGAAGAGTAAACACAGCAGCCAATAGCCTCCCTTTGTCTCCCAGAAAAGCATGTGAGCTCTGGAGACAGCAGCGAAGTGACTGAAGGTGGGGGACACTTACCCAGGGTCAAAAACCCCTGGAGTGCGGCAGGTTGGCCCCGAACAGGACTGAAGCATCATCAACCGATAGTTCATCTTTCCCAGGAGCTCTGGGTCTATAGTTTTTGCAATGTTGGTGATTTGGTCTGGATCTGCAGTTATATTATAGACTTCTACGAACACCTAGAGACAGAAATGAAAGAGGAAAGAAAAGAGCAAAGATATATTGAGAAAGTATTACTAATCCCCCGCCCCCAGGGTTTCTCTGTGAAGCAGCTCTGGCTGCCCTGGAACTCGCTCTGTAGACCAGGCTGGTCTCAAACTCACAGAGATCTGTCTGCCTCTACCTCCCGAGTGCTGGGATTAAAGGTATACGCCACCACCAAGCCATTTCTTATTTTAAAAAGTTGTTTTTAAAGAGATGTATTTGTTATATATACAGTGTTCTGTCTGCATGTGTGCCTGCATGCCAGAAGAGGGCGCCAGATCTCATTACATATAGTTGTGAGCTATCATGTGGTTGCTGGGAATTGAACTCAGGACCTCTGCAAGAGCAGCCAGTGCTCTTAAACTCTGACCCATCTCTCCAGCCCTTACTGTATTGTTTCTAATGGTAGACTGCAGTCAGTACTTCCCCCTCTAATCCGCATACTGTTTTCCAGGACACGGGAGGTAAACGCTCCTTCTAATTACCACTCAACAGTATCAAACAGAAACATGGGAAGGGCAGCTCAGTTTGAGTGAAGCCCACTTTCTTGCTCAATGTACTGATGAGCTGGAAGGAAGGGAGAGTCCACTAGTAGGAGCACAGGTGAGCCAGGAGGAGGGGGCCAGAAGAGCATATGCTGAACACCAGTGTGACTCTGCAAGGCCTGGTGTCCAGAGGATCCATCCTTCAGGTGACACACAGTCATCAGTGTGGCTCAAGCCCCACCTTCTCCCAAGGATGGCCCTTCTCGGCCTGTGTCCCCCACTCTCATAACAGATAGCATTGCCCTGTGCTGGCTGTGTGAGCAGAGGGAGCTTCTGCATGGGTGACAAGCTGGCCAGCCTGCTGGGAATGCCCCAGATCCTCTGTAGATGTTGAAGGGCGGCACTTGCAGCCCCAGTACCAAGGAAGCCACAGGTGTGTGTCCTTCTGAAAGGTCAACTGTGCGTTTACAGTGTGTGAGGGTGTGTAGACCAGAGAAGACTCCATTGAGAAAAATCAATGAAGCTGCCCATATGAGACTGTCTTGTGAACTGCAGGAGATGTCAGGGGACATCTTCCCTGGGTCACATGCTCTGGGATTGGCTTTATGCCACCAGGCCCAAGCAACTGAACACTGGCCATAGACAAGGGGTGGGGTGGAGGAGGTGACCAGGCTCGAGTCCTCCTTACCTCCTGGTCATCAAACTCGCAATACTGTAGGTTCCACAGTGACGACAGTGTCCTCACACAAGCATAGGTATTGTTGTAAGCGTCTTCACACACACAGTCGGGGAAACATTGCTGGAGGAATAGTTGACAAGTTAAACAGGAATGCTCTGACATAGCAAAGTCTCTGTTGGCAACACAGGTACAGGCTGACTCAAGTCAGCCACCAGGGAGGGGGACCAGCTATCAAATGAGTCTCTCTCAAGGACAGTCTGGAACAGTCATCCTGGGGTGATAAGAAAAATGCAGAGAGCACCCCGAGATCTCAGCACTACGAAGGGTCAAACCCCATGTTTTCCACAGGCTCTGCTAGGCCACGGTTGGTTGTGTTGTATTCTTTACACACACACTTTAGAAAAAAACAAAAACACACCCCAGGGTCTCACTATGTAGCCCTTGCTGGCCTGGCTCTCAGAGATCCACTCGTCTTCGCCTTCCAAGACCTAGGACTAAAGGTGTACGCCCACACTGCGCTGGGTCCTTTACTCAGACACTTTAGTGTCAGGAGGAGCAATGCTCAACTCCCCACAGCCAGGTCAACATGGACTCCATCTGCCTGGTTGCCGCCAGTGCACGCCACCCGTGAAGGCACACGGAGCAAACCCCATCTCCATCAGTTCCTCTGACAGCATGCCCTAGCAGAACGGTTCCAGGCAGAGTGGGTAAAGTGGGCGGAGCCCGATGCCGGCAGCATCACTGAGGTGACTGAAGTGGCTAACCAGCATCTGCCGTGTGGCGAGAAAGCTGCCCCCCAGACAAGCGGCTACTCACGGATACTCCAGGGCTCAAGGACGGACAGGTCGGGTCGGTGACATTACGGCCTTCTCCTTGATATTCCACCAGGATGTCGGACCTCCAGGTTAAGTTACTGGCCCCTTTCTAGAAAGAAGAGCAAAGGTGGATGGGTAAGGATGAGTCCTTCCGACTGTGTCACTAAAGGGAATGATGAGTGGACATGTGGGAAAACCACTACTGTCATTTCTGGCTTTATAGTCTTTAAAGGGCCGGTCAGCGGCTCAGACTGTGTTATCGTTCCTTTCCAGGGCAGCACGTGACAGAATAGAAGCTGGCGGTGGTGCAGGCTGCTCCAGATCAGGCAAATGGTGCCCAGCTGAGAGGGCAGGCCTTCCCTGGGCAGGCCTGAGAGGCGGAGTGCAGCTGCGGGCTTGGAGTACAACCCACACATCACGATTGCTCTGCTGTACATCCGTGGTGTGGAGACAGGTGTAGCATTGGAAACACACACTGGAAAACAGGAGCAAGTCTGAGAGCAAAAGTAGATGAATTCAGGTAGCAGAGAATGAAGATCCAGATGGGTCATGACCCCCAGCTTTCAAGAGGAGGAAGCAGGAACGGGATGGGGTGGACAGCCAGGGCCTAAATGCCAGGAGGCCCCAGGAATGACTGAGCCCCTCTCTCTGAGTATCAGGGAATGGGTAGGAAGGACAGAGCAAGGCTGTGCTCCAGAGGTCAGCCAAGGTCAGGATCTAGAGGTGAACAGGAAAGGGTAGAAGCAGGCCAGATGAGAATGCGGCTTCCGTCAGCCTAAGGTCGTCCTCAACAGCAGACGGCAGCTTGCCTGAAACCCACCATCTCAAGCCCTGGGAATACTTCTCCTGGTGCTAGTGACTGAACCAGGGTCTCACACACACTACAAGCACCAGAGGGGCATCCATGCCGAGGAAGCTGTGAGCAGGACGTAAGTACTGTTTCTGGCCGGTCTTTGGCCTTTTCCCGTTCATCTCTAGATGTCAGCGTCTCTAAGACTTCACACGCCTTCAACTATCCTCTGGTATGTAAGCTGCAAATATTGCTTTGCACCTGTTAGTCATCTTAGGTTTGTTCATCCTCCCACTCCATCCCCTGGGGGTTGGGGAATGAGGACAAAGAGAATTCGAAGGTTGAAAGTGACAAGGGGTCCAGTCAGTCTTTCCTTTAGGAAAACTCTCACCACACGGTTAGAGACACCTGGGGTTTAAACCAGGGTTCTGGCTCTTTTGGCTGTTAGCTTCCTACTCACCAGAATGGGCAGTAAGGATACCCCATCCATCTGTGTCCTATTCAGGTCATAGCCGGCAAGGTCCAAGATGGTGGGGCCCAAGTCAATATTTGAGACCAGCATCTGCACGAGTGAGGAAAACAGTCTGGGATACAGTCGGTCTCGCCTTCCTTTGTCATCTCATCAGAAACCCACGGCACCATCGCTCTCTGATAACCGTTCTCTCATCCCAGCTCCCGACACGCAACTACAACTTCAGACGCAAGGCTTATCAAGTGTATACACAAACGCATTCGGGCAGCTGTGCATTCATCTTACCACGAGGTCATTAGCAGACATCTGAAAACACTTCTGTAATTCCCTTATCATGAGCGATGGGGGCATTGCTGACCATTGCTGCAAATCAATTATTTTCCAACTTGACATCCACATTCGTTCACTAAATTTGGCCTCACATGTATTCCTGACATTTTTCAAAAGATTTATGTATTTCTAGTTTACGTGTATGGGTGTTTTGCCAGCACAGATGTAAATGCACCACACTCATGCAGTGCCAGAAGAAGGCGACAGATTCCCCTGGAACTGAAGCTACAAATGGTTGTGAGCCACTGCTGTGGGTGCTGGGAACTGAACCCGGGTCCTCTGCAAGAGCAACAACTGTTCTTAACTGCTGAGCCGTTGCTCTAGCCCCACTAACGCTTTTTTTTTCTATGTAGTCCTGGCTGTTCTGGAGCTTACTATGTAGAGTAGGCGTTCCCCTACCCACAAACACTTTTTTGAAGTCTCAAAGTTGGATGTTTGCTGACACCACGGAAGATGAGCTCATCAGTTTATAGTTTTCAAAGTGACAATGCTACCCCACCGTCCTGTTGACCTAGCTAGGGTATGCCGGATAGCCCAGCCTAGTCTCACACTAGTGACCCTCCAGCTTCAGCCTCCTCGGTGCCGGATTACAGGTGGGTACCACTTGCCTGGTCTTGCCATAGGCCAGGAAGGCTGCAGAAAACTTACTGTAATTGACCAACAAATTTCCTTAAAGAGCACAAAACACTTGTTATAACGGAAACATTCTAGGGCCCATGAGATGGCCCAGAGGGTAAAGATCACCAAGCTTGATGCCCTAAATTCAATCCTGGGCCCCACATGGTAGAAAGAGAATCAACCCACTTCCCCAAGCTGTCCCGACATGTGCGCCACGACACAAGCATGCACACAATATACTTATACACACAATACATACAAACATACAAACAATTTCTGTATTCAATTCTCCCAAGGACCCAAACCAGCACAGTTCCTTTTACATACAGTGGGGGCTGTCAGTTTTAACACACACACAAAAATAAAACTTTAGTGTGTGTGTGTGTGTGTGTGTGTGTGTGTGTGTAAGCCAGAGGACCTCAGGTGTGGCTTTCCTAAGACAGTTTCTCATTGGCCTGGCTGGGGCTTACTGATTGGTTAGGCTGACTAGCCTCTGGGCTCCACCTCCCACCTCCTCTGTGCTGGGATCCCAGGGTTTTCCATATTGATTCTGAGGAACAAAGTAGCTTAGCCTGCAGGATGAGCTCCAGGACAGAAAGCAGAGAAGACAGACCCGGTTGTACACGCCTTTAAAATCCCAGCACTTGGGAGGAGGAGGAAGGCGGATGGATATCTGTGAGACAGAGACCAGGTTGGTCTACAGAGGGAGTTCTACAACAGCCAGGGATACATAGTGAGACCCTGTCTCAAAACAAGGAGAGCAGCTCCCAAGGATCACCACCTGAGGCTGTCCTCTGGCCCGTACACACACACACCCAAAATAAGTCTTTGAAACTGTGGAGAAAACTTATTGAGGCAGCCAAACAGGGAAATTAAAAAAAATCAATTAACTGTCATTTTTAATTTAAAACCAAACCAGAAGGGCCTGTATGAAAAGCAGAACACCTTCAAGGCATTGTTCATTGGGGCTCGTATTTCCTGGTAGCTGGAGAACTAGCAATGCACAACCTGGTGCTGAATCCATTAGTGTCTCAGCAGCTGTCGTGGGCTACCATTCCATGGAGATAATTCAGGGAGCAGCGATCCGTATGTCACTGAAAAAGCTCAGCAGAGCTGTCCCCAGAGATGAGCAAGACCTACAAACATGGGTCAGTTTCCTCCCTGCCAGACCCCCAGGGTGACCCGAGCAGCCTGGCTGACAGCTGGCAAGTCTGAATAGAAGTACAGAAGAGATCACCAGAGCAGGAGAAACATGAGCCCGAGAGTTCAGGAGGTGAGAGGAGCCCGGCCCATAGGTAATGGGGTAGTCAAAGCAGAGTGTAAGATGAACTGTAAATACTAACACAATAAAAAACCAGAATGAAAATGGCGACTGCCAGTCTCACCAAAACCCACTTCCAATTCCAGAGTTGCACGATGGGAGACTTTTCCAGTGAACTTTGCTCAATGGCAAGGCCTGTTGAAACTAGTACCCACCACTACGATTTAAGTACCACAAACACACATGTTCCCAGGAAACTTTCTTCCCACATACATGTAATTACTATGTCTTCTCTAAGGGTTTTTGCCTGTGAGGCAGAGGGCTTCAAAATGTTCACACTGTATGAGGGGCCTAGAGACCTTTGGTGGATACAATAATGAGCAGAAAATTCAAAAGAAAACTGAGTTGACCCCTACCCTCAAAATTACTGAAAACAAGGAGATGTGCTCTCGGAACACAGACAGGGTCCACTTAAGCTCTGATATATATATTGTGGTTTTTCAAGACAGGGTTTCTCTGTGGTTTTGGATCTAGCTCTTGTAGACCAGGCTGGTCTTGAACTCAACAGAGATCTGCCTGCCTCTGGCTCTCGAGTGCTGGGTTAAAGCGTGCGCCACCTGGCTAAGCTCTGATATTAAACACCTTGTAAGGCTACCTAAGGCAGGTCACATCCCACCCCAGAAGGCACCAAGGGCCCATTTGGCAAAAGAGCTTGGAGCACACGAGAGTCTAGCACCACCAAAGGTGAGCTGCTGCAGGTGGATCTGCCCTTGGCTTCTCTATCTAGAAGATGCCAGGGTTCCACCCAGTGACACTGGTAGAGAGGAAGGCGGCTGGAGAGACCGCTCAATGGCTAACAGCACTTGCTGCTCTTCCAGTGAACTTGAGTTCAACTCCCAGCACCTACACTGCGTGGCTCACAACGCCCTGCAACTCTAGTTCTAGGGCAGCGGTTCTCAACCTTCCTAACACGGCAACCCTCTAATACAGTTTCTCATGTGTGGTGACCCCCAACAAAAACTATTTCGTTATTACTTCATAACTGTAACTTTGCTGCTGTTTTGAATTGTAATATAAATATCTGATATGCAGGATATCCGGTGTGACCTCCAAAGGGGTTGTGACCCACAGGTTGAGAACTACTATTCCAGGGGATCTGACACCCTGTTCTGGCCTTTGTGAGTACCTACGCACGCGTGCACACACGCACACACACGCGCACACACACACGCGCACACACACACACACACACACACACACACACACACACGGAAACTTCACACAATTTCTGATGGTGATCCTCATGAGAGTCACTAGTGCTGGAAGTAAATCTTGAACCACAGCTGTGCATGCAGATGTGACATCCATGTGGCAGTGGGAACACACTCACAGAGGGCAGTAGACAGTTGGAGGACAAAAAAGCCACTCTCTCCAAGGTTCACAAAGGCAAAGACATTCACCAACCAGCCTTCCTCTCCAGGAGTGACTGCTGGTTTCTCTAGGCAAGTGCCACCTATACACGGGGCCAGCTGCGGTCAGGCACCTACCTTGCTTGTCTGGTTTGGTTTGATCCCAGGCCCTCGAACCAACAGTGGGACTTTGATATCAAACTCATACAGTTGTCTTTTGTCTATTGGCAAAGAGAACTGCCCTGAAACAAAAGTTCAAAGTCAACGCAGAGCCAGGACAGGTGTGCAACACATCTGAGGCGCTGAAAAACCACAAAGATGCTGTTTTAAGACTTATTGTTTACTTAGGTGCTGTGTGTGTGTGTATCTGCTCAATGTATGCCACATGGGTGCAGCCCTAGAAGGCTAGAGGGGCAGCTGGAATTACACATCACCTGGCATGGGTCCTGGGAACTGAACTCAGGTCCTCTGGGAAGTGCTCTACTTAACCACCGAGGCACTCTCAAGCCCCTTAATTCCTGGTTTTATAACAAAGTGTAAACTTGCCTGGGTTTCTTCTTACCACAGACAGGAAAAATAATTGAGTTTACCTTCTCCAGATAAGTAACTAAAAAGGACATGTTCTAAACAGGACGAATGGAGGAAAATAATGTCTGGGAAGGAACGAGAAACAAATACGTAAGCATGTATGCACAGGTGACCTGATCCCAGGTGACTCATGTCACTCCAAACACTGCCACGTAAGAGAGGAACGTACTCCGTCCCCCTGATGCACTGGCATGAAAGAGAAAGGCCCTTCTGAGGGATTCCACACCCACGATGGGGACAGAACGAGGACATCAACATTCGCACAGCTCAGTTTGAGGAGGCTTTAGCAACAGCTTTCAAAGGGAATCCCAAGAACAGGTTTGGAGGAAGGGACCAGGTTAGATCAGCTGGGCCATTGATCCGCACTCTTGTCCCCAGGAGGACAGTCAGACACCGCACCTCACAAACTTGATGAGTTGGGAAGTATACCACAGTATCACTGGGGCGGCTCCTGGTCTGAAGACATTAACATGTGTCAGGTCTCCAGATCTCAGACCAACCTACAGGAAATTCTGAGTAGAAATGAACAAGCAAGGCCTCATCAGATGGTAACTGGCCAAATCCAGAGTAAGGACTGCTCTATAGAACAAAAGGAACACTTTTCTCAGTAAGTCAGTAGCAACTGAGACTTAGAGGAGCTTAAAATTCCAGGTCATATGTGGACTTATCTGTATGATAAATTAGCTGCGGGTGGAGCCTTTTGTGTATTCACGAGTGTCTGGGGTGCCAAGGTACACCATAATCCCAACACTCCAGAGGCCAAGGAGGGCAGTCATGAGGCTAAGGTCACTTGAGAGATAAAGAGAGACCCTCATCAAGAACCCAAGGGCTGGGATGTAGCTCAGCGGTAGAACACCCACCTGGTGTGTGCAGTCTGACTGTCAGCACTGCAGATACCCTGCCCCCCCCCACATACAGAGAAAACCACGAGGAAGGCGGGAAGAATGCAGTGCTGGCCATCTGCAGCTGAAAAGCGGACCAGGAAGACGGGAGGGGGTTTTAATTAGTGCCCCACCATGAAGAGGCAGGGTCTATGCTGACCACACGGGCCTCAAGCTGCTAAACTCAAGCAATCCTTCTGCCTTAGCCTTCTCAGTAAGTAATACAAAAGGCACACACCATCACACCCAGCCACACCAGCTTCTCACAGTAATAATGCTGAGTCAATCTGCACAAACAAAAGCAAGTCTCATGTTAACTCAAGAGAAAACACACAGACATATAGAAAGAAGAAAATACTTGTCTTTTGCTAGAGCATGGAGTTCACTCAGACTGCAGTTCTCAAAGACCAGAAGTAGCCCCTAGATTACAAGACTTAGTAATAAAGTTGTGCTTGCAGGACAACTTTCTGTGTCCCACCCCAAGTTCCACTCATCCTACAGATGAGCTCATCTTCTCTTCTTCCATGGCTTGTCTCTAACATGGTCAATACACTCTCTGCTCCTGCCTGAGCCCCGACAGCTCAGCACTGGAACAGCCCCTCTGGTGGAAATGCCTGCTATGAGGAGTCCTGAGGGCAAGCGTCTCCTCCTGGCCAGTCCACTGCTGTGAAGCACTGGCCTCCCACCACACAGCTGACAGAGGGGATGTGCTCTCACAGACGGCAGTGCTGACCCTGCCGCTCACCTGTATGGTAGCCATTGTCTGAGGTATAGAAGATGTATGTGTTGTCCAGTTCACCGGTGCCATCCAATCTCTTTACCAGTTTCTCCACAAGGTCATCAACCGAGAGCAGAGTTTGCCACCTGGGCACCAGCACAGGGAGGAAACAGGACTTCAGGGGCAATGTTACACAAAACACTCACCCTACTAAAGCAAACGGCAACTGCTCTATCTGTCCCCCAGACTGTCATTGTAAAAGGTAGATTAAGAATTCCAGAACACAATAATTACTTCATTTCAAATCTGTCTCCAAAGAAATAAATCAGCCTTTTAACAATGAGCTAACTTTATTTTTTTTTCCTGTATAAGAACAGAGCTACTCAGAAAGGACAGTTGTTAATTCAGTATCGATTACTACAGATTGGTTTAAATAAGTATATACTGCACTACTGTTTAATGGTCCAGGCACAAGCCACTGGCCTATAGGCAAAACGCCAAAGCTTGTCTACTGACTGTTTTTATAAAGTTTTATTGATACACAGCAGTATTTTCATATTCCCTAAGGCTGCCTTTGTGCTGGGACACATGGCAGTCTTGCAAATTCCAAACATCAAAGGTAAATACTCTGCTCAGTATTTGGGCTGATTTCTTTCTTTCTTTCTTTCTTTCTTTCTTTCTTTCTTTCTTTCTTTCTTTCTTTCTTTCTTTCTTTTTTATTTACTTATTATGTATACAGTGGTCTTTCTGCAAGCCAGAAGAAGGCACCAGATCTCATTAGATGGTTGTGAGCCACCATGTGGTTGCTGGAAATTGAACTCAGGACCTCTGGAAGAGCAGTCAATGCTCTTAACCTCTGAGCCTTCTCTCCAACCCTGGGCTGATTTCTATGTAACCTTTTCTTTAAGCTTGGGGAAAAAGATTTTCAAGCAAATAGTTTAAGTTTGTCATCTTGGGGTCCAAAGACCACCTCATGCATGTGAACATAGAGGAATGCCCGCCTGCTTGTGGGGTGGCAGTGTCTGGTGGCACCTCTCCTGCTGGCCTGCCTCCCTGTTTGCTCAAGGGTAACAGTGGTTCCATCCCCATTCTCAAAGCCATTCACACAAGAACAGAGTGGGGTGTTTACCTCCTTCTGAACGCGTCATCTAAGAACTGGATTGAAGAGTTCGTCATTGGAGTCTTGGCTTGCCTAATTAGCCAGTGCTTGTTCTAAAATTCAGAAGACACCAATGTTAACACCAAGCTGCCATCATCACATAGTAGAGAAGACAAACGATCATTCACATCTTAGCAAGCTATCTAGAACAGTGGTTCTCAACCTGTGAGTGACAATCCCTTTGGGGTTACATATTAGCTATCCTGCATATCAGATATTACATTAAGATTCATAACAGTAGCAAAATTACAGTTATGAAGTAGAAACGAAAATAACGTTATAGCTGGGCGGTGGTGGCGCATGCCTTTAATCCAGCACTCAGGAAGCAGAGACAGGCAGATCTCTGTGAGTTCAAGACCAGCCTGGTCTACAATAGCCAGTTCCAGGACAGTCTCAAAAAAGAAAGAAAACAATGAAAATAATGTTATGGTTGGGGTCACCACAACACAAGAACTGTATTAAAGGGTTCCAGGGTTAGGAAGGTTGAGATCCACTGTTCTAGAAGCTGTTGAAGCCACGTCAGGCTGCCTCTTCTTCCCAGGCTGCTACGAGCAGCAGCTTTGCAGATGGACAGATGGACTCCATTGCTCTACCAGCCTCCCACTGGTAAACACCGTGATACTTTTTTGTAGGCAGCAGTGATTAGAGACTCTAGTGAGTGCCACAGGGAAGCCACTAGCTAAAGTGACATTCAGTTGGTAACCCTGACTGTGTATGTAGTCAACTATGACTACAATTGGGCAGGTACTAGTTTACCTCTCTCTAAGTTTTGCCTGTAGGTCCCCACTCTCCACAGACGTGTCAACCCAAGAGACTGACATCCCGGGGAAAACCCTGCCACATGGGTTTCAAACCTCAAGCTCTGCTCATACGGCACTAGCAGAGCACGCAAGTGTGGTTCCCAGCAGCCTAACAGGGCAGCTCACAAATGCCTGTAACTCCAGTTCTGGGGGCTCTGAGCCGCCTTCTGGCCTCCTTCAGTACTGTACCCACAGCATAAACCCACACCCGAGACACACATACATAAACATTTAAAAATAAAAATGAAATGGTAAAAAATAACAAGAGCCCCTTTAAGTTCAATTCTGGAGGGGCCATTTTCTTTACATAAAAGCCACATTTTAAGTAACAAAAATATCCCCACATGTACCTGATTCTTTGTGTATCCACAAGACTCTAAGTGACCAAACTACAAACTGTTCTCTGGTTAATACAAATTCAATCTTCAGTCCTCTTGTCGGAGGTTCACATTAGATCCCATGTGACTGCAAAGTCCTGCAGCGGCGACTTACCTAACCCAAGGCTTTCCATCTTACTGCTCCTCCCAGGGACTTCTAGCCATGCTCCTGGAACCCAGAATTGAGACTGGTCCACTAGTTTAAACCAGCTTTTAATTTAACAAGCCCAGGTCTGTGGTGTGTGTGTGTGTGTGTGTGTGTGTGTGTGTGTGTGTGTGTGTGTGTGTGTGTGTGTGTAGTAAGCCAGATGCTTCTATTTTAATATTACAGTAATCGAAGGCATAAGACCTCCCCCTTTAAGAGGCCAGGAGGGAAGTACCTTGCTCATCTCACAGACAGAAACTGATGCTCCTGGCTCTGACGTCACCTCTGACTCATTTTGTACCATTAGAAAGAAGTACTGTGGCTTCTAGGTAAGACTCAGGCAGCGGGGACCTGCTTACCCCCTCAGCCAAGGGACGTATGACTAACTAAAGGATACTTTGAGGAGACAGGCACGGTAGCACACGCCTTAAATCCCAGCAATTAGGTGGCAGAAGCATGAGGGTCACTGTGAGTTTCAGGCCAGCCTGGTCTACACCGTCTCTGAGGAATACGGTTTGGAAGAGAGTGAACAGGAGAGAATGGTGTGGGGGAGTGTCTCAGTTGCTAAGAACAGGACTTCTGTCTGAGGGAGAAAGACCTTTCCCATCTGAAGTTTCAGGGACGGCTTAAAGGGATTTGCCCTAGGAGTCTGGGGCATGCGGTACCTTAGGTAGGAAAACAGAGGAAAAACTTGAGACAGGCGCGGTTAGCTGATGAGGCAACTGCTTGGCTGTGGTTTAAACATGCAGCCTGCCATTTCACGCTTCCATCTACATGCACTGCATGGTGCCACCTCTCCTCATGCCTTGGGCCCACCAAGGCTGCTGCAAGTGCAGATGTCCCCAGAGACACGTCTTAGCCACCAGGACAGAGGCGGTGGCGGGAGACATGCTTATAATCAATCAGGCAGTGTCTTTGCCATTCCGGGGAATCTCTTCTAGCGGCTCACTGGATGTGTGGCAGGAACTTTATGTCTATCCGAGAACACGCTGTACTAGGGACAAGTGCTCATGTCCCCGCCGGCTGACCCAGCAAGTGCAGCTTACGTCATGGGTTGGAGGAACCTACCGTCCCATGGATGTTGAAGTTCTTGTTTCTCGGTGCGAAGACATTCTGGAACGCCTTCTGGTACTGAGGTGCAGCTGTCCAGGGTGAGTGGGGTGCCGGGGTGGAGATCATCATGAAGAATGGCTCCGAGTTAGACTTGTACTCCAGGAAGTCCAGGGAGAGATTGGCCTGACACATACATGATGACAGTTGTCATCTACCCCCCGCTAGCAACTGTGCATCCAACAGGGACGTGCCTCTTGGTAGACAGAGAGAGCACTCAGGGTCAGTGTGGCTGTGAACCTCTAACAAATTTCGCAGCATTTGGTATGGGCGGCGCTGACCACCTTGAGAAGTCTACCAAGGAAAGCAACTGAGACCTTAAATGTACAAGACCTCTCTATGCTCCCCAACAGTAAGAAACAGTAAATTGTCCGTCTTAGCATTAGCTTGCACTGACGAAGCTTAGGCTGTTGCTATTTCGTGCTGAGGACCAGTGAGATGGCCCAGCAGGTGAAGGCGCTTGCTGTCAAGCCTCGTGAGCTGCGTCCCCTCCCCACCTGCTGGTGGGGGTCAGAACTGTTCCCATACCCTTCGGTCATTTCATCCATGCCCGCTTTTCTCCCCCGGCACTAACTCTAGAGGGTGTGTGCCTTCACTCTTTCCCACCACTAGCTCTCTCTACGGCGTCCTGCGCTTTTTTCAAGGCTCGCTCCTGCTTGGCCAAGGCCCTCCGGCCGCCTCCTCCCTGGTCTTTGCTGGTCACTCTAACCCCTTTCAGGTTTCTACTCAAAAGCTACCAAAGCTGCCCTTTACCTTTCTCATCTGTCTAACCTATCCACCTAATGAAGAAATAGATGATCAGCCCGTCACGGAGCAACACATGAATGCGTGTACACGATCATACCCCAGGGCACGTGGTGTGAGATTTCTGCTGTAAAGAGGCTGCCTTCCAAGGAACTGGGCTTTGCTCACTTATCAGGGAACAACCGCTGCACTACATGCTAGACTGTCTGGTGAATAAATAAATACCCCGTGGAAGGTTTCCATTAAAAACATATCAGGACAAGAAGTTCTACCTGAGTATGATTTACATGTGCGCAGCCTTGCCCACAGAGGCCCTTGAAGGACAACTGAGGAGAGTCTCTGAGGCAGCTACCACAGTCAGAGAGAGAGGCATTTACTGCTGGCCTGTGAGAGCATGAGACTCGAGCTAGCTTATATGAAGAAAAACATCCTCTGTGGGTTTCTGACTGGGGAAGAAAGCATTTTGGCGGATACACCAAGTCATTATGCACTGCTGTTTGCTGACATAAATTAGACCCAAACGCTGTCTAGACGGTACTCAGTTGAGTGCAAGGGGAGGCCACAGCGCCTGAGCTGATATGCTCAAGAACTCACCAGAACGTCTGTCAGGTAGTCCACGCTGTAGTTCTCACCGTGTCTCCGTGCCTTTCCGTTGATAGAGAGGGTGTAGTTATAGTACTTAGAGTTCTTTTCCTACAGAGAAGAGGAAGGAAGATTTGTCAGCATACAAATCCAAAGCCTGAACTTCCTGCTGGACTACACTGCATTGCTTAAAGAGGGACAACCGCCCAAGTCAGCACTGAATTGGGTCTGGGGGATATTGGAGGACATTATCATAGATAGCAGAGTTTCATTACATGGATCAGGCCTCTAATGGGAGGAAAAACACTCGGAACGGAGTGACTCACCAGTCAGCAGACTTCATTGAGGAGATAAAATTTCCCATAAAGCAAGACATGTCAGCACCAGGACCAAACCATGAGTATACATATTTTGTGTCTCTGGGCCGTGACTAGTTGCCACTGACCCTAATAGTTACTTACCAAGGCATACCAGTAACTCCAGCCCAGAGGAATGTGCTCCAGTCCACCTGCATCTGGGGCTCCGTACTGAAAAGACAGCCAAGCAGGATGTTAGATTCTTTAGACATGACCAGACTAGAAAGAAATAGGTGACCGAGAACGCCTTTTGGCAGGGCCTGAAACATAACAGGCATACAATTCCCCCAAACATACAAACTAGTTAAAGAATAAAGAACTTCCTAACCCAAGCCAATTCTTCAGCGGGAGTCAGTAACTATGGTCACTGCTAAATCCGGCCTGCCAGCTGCTTTGAATGGCCAGGGTGCCATTCAATCATTTAAACACACCAAGCTGGTCAAAAGGAAACTACCTTGTGAAATGTAAGCTGCCGAGCTTCAGATTTCAATGCAGATGGTCTTATTTGGACACAGCCAGGCATACACACTCATGAGACTCCATAGCTGCCTCTATGCTAAAACGGCAGTGTGCAACAGCTCTATGGCATGTGTGGCTTACAAAGTCCAACGTTCACCGTCTGCTTGCTGTGTGAGACTGTTCAAGAGGTGAGTGCTGAGCTACGACAGAAAAGTCTAAATGACACTTGGTGGCAACAGCCAAGAGAATTGGACCACGGGCTATTCCTTCAGTTGTCTTGATGAGATCTACTTTTGAAGCCCAATCTACACTGTCCCCTAGCTAAATGCAGTTTAGCACTGCCCAGTAAAGTCAGGATGGAATCTCTGAGCCCAAACTCTGCACTACGGGATTCCCGTCATCACACACATCAAGTGACTGTCAATGTGCAAATGCCCCCAGCCCCACAGAGCGTCCCTCAAGCTGACGCATCCTCCTTCAAGCCCATAGGTCACAGGTCCCCTCAATGACAGGGAGGAAGGGGCACTGAAAATTCAGAAGAGATAAAGACCCCTGACTACCGCAGGAAAAGGGTGTGATAAACACACACAGTCTCTGCACCCCAGTTTAGCCTGGAGAAAACCCAAACATCCCCGATACATCATTGACTTTAAGCACTGATGCTAAGAAAACTGAGACCAAGGGGTGGACTTGAGGTGACAGCTCACAGTGAGGTACCACCTCTAGGCCCATGAGGCCAGCACATCAGCCCCCACAGCCTCCATGCCCACAGGGCGCTGTCCTTTATCACAGTTTCTCCAGTCTAATCTCACGTTTAGTCTGTTCTCACCCTGCAGGTCAAAGGGGAGGTATAGAGTGAATTGTGCGAATGCAGAAATGATTTCAAGACAACCTGGGCAGAGTCTAGGAACAAAAGGCCCACGCTTGATGCTGAAAAAAAGAGGAAATGGAAACTGTGGCAGCCACATGACCAGAGTCCCTGGTGAAACAGGGAAGTGGGGACAGATGGGACAGTGGTCAGGGCAACTTCTAATAAAAGCTGTGGGGGCTGTGTAGAAGGAAAGCAACTACAGAGCCTAAGCACATAACGTGTTTTTCCAGTTAATGGGCAGATTGGCGAAAAGCTGCAAATAGCCAAAACCCTTTAATACCATGACTTGAATTGACACCAATGAGAAAAATAATTATCAGGAAATACATTAATTCACATCTTAAATGCCAATGTAGGATAGGAAAACGGGGCTGGAGAGATGGCTCAGAGGCACTGGCTGCTCTTCCAGAGGTCCTGGGTTCAATTCCCAGCACCCACATGGTGGCTGACAACCATCTGTAATGAGATCTGGTGCCCTCTTCTGGCCTGCAGGGATACATGCAGACAGAACACTGTATTCATAACATAAATCTTAAAAAAAAAAAAAAAAAAAGGAAAAGATCATTTAACAGACCTCGTTTAAATACTTCCCAGCAAAGAAGGTTTGATAACCGCACATTGATCTGAGGATGGCTGGGAATGTGTTCGGCTCTTGGATCTTCTGCCAGGACTTGCTGCTGCAGTTCCCCTCCAGGGTGTTGTTCACCACGTGATGGTTATGTGGGTATTTCCCAGTCAGGATGCTGGCTCTGCTGGGGCAGCAAAGAGCGCTCGGCACGTACTACGGGGACAGAAGCAAAGGACCAGGTCACGCTAGAGAGACTCACCCGGGGGGGAACAGGAGACACTTAATGCTTTCATTCCAGTTTCGGCTTCTCAAGGAGCGGGGCTTTCTCTACACACGGCACACTCCAGAGCTGTTTAAAAGTCACTCAGCAGAGACAGCAGAGCAGATCAGAAAGAACAGCCAGTGGACAGGCTGCTACTTGAGGGAAGGGGACCTCGAGAGGTGGAAGAGATTGGGGTCAAGGTAGGGGCGGCTGACGGGGTACATGTAACTTGAAAGCAGGAGGGGGCGGGGTGAGGGGAAACAAGAGGGAAGTGGGGGAAGGGAACACAGGCACACAAGCCCAGTCACACTACACATGCAAAAACACCCCGCTCAGACCCATACTTCTGTGCGCTAACATAAAAACTAGTCATCGGAAATCCATGCTGCACTACTGTCCCCTTCCAGTACTTAACGTGTCCTTGCTGTTGTTTTCCTCTGCTTTTCAAGTTGGATTCTGCCTCTTCTGGAGCCAGGACATAAAAAGCCTTACACACTGAGTGTGCGCTCCCCCTGAGCTAAGTCTCCAGTTCTGACTGGCATTTGAAAATCAATACTCATGAGGGCGAATGTCTCCACATGGAACACTCACCTTTTCCATTTCTTTTTTAAATCAGACGTGTTTGTCCTCTGTAATTGTTTTTCACTTAGAAAGATCTGAGTTATTTACGTGTACGAGTGTGTATGTGTGCCTTGAGTGTCTGTTGTTTGTGTGTGGGTGCATATACAGAAGCTAAGAGATGTGTCAGGTTCCTCGCGGTGGGGCCACTGGCTCGTTACATGGACCTACATTCCAGTCCTCAGGAGGCGAGCAGCTCTAACTGCAGGACCTCCTCTCCAGCCCGCCTTCTGCCACTAAACACTGACCACTCTCCTTTCCTGTCCCAGCTAGCCCTAACTGTTGTCACTTTGACCCAGCCTAGAGTCACCCAAAAGGGAGCTTCAACTGGTCCAGATCAGAGAGTGTCTTGATTGTTAACCCATAAAGGAGGATCCATCCCATTGTGGGCGACACATTCCCTGGGCAGTTGGTACTGGCTTGTATAAGAAAGCTAGAAAAGCCTGACATGGTGGTGCACACCTTTAATCCCAGCACTCAGGAGGCAGAGGCAGGCGGATCTCTGAGTTTAGGACCAGCCTGTTCTACAGAGCAAGTTCTAGGACAGTCAGGGCTACACAGAGAAATCCTGAAAAACAAAAAAATCAACAAGTGAAAGCTAGTTTAGATGAACTTGCTGACGAGCCAGCAAGGCCAGCAACCGCTCTTCCTCCATGGTTTCTGTTTTAAGTTCCTGCTTGAATTCCTCAACTTGCCTCAGTTATGAACTGTGACTGGAAGCATAGTCACATCAGACCTTTCTGGCCCCAAGATGCTTTTGGTCGAAGGATCCCACCACAGCAGCAGAAAAGAAACTAGAACATTTACCTTTCTGCTTCTATTTACCTCTTAGACCTTCTATGGTCAGTATTGCATTATTATCATATTTTCCTATGTCATTTTAGTGCTGGCTCATGTAATTCCTTCCTTTAAAAACATTGCCTTTATGGGTTTGATCTCTGGTACCGACAAAAAACAAAAAAACAAAACCAAAAAAAAAAAAAACACCCCAAAACTAACTTTGGATTGGGATGCATAGTTCAGTTGTTGAGTATGCTATACAGCACACCTCAGGCCCTGATATTAGTCCCAAACAGCAAACAAAAACACTATCTTGACTGTTCTTACTGAATCACCATTCTAGGTAATAATTAGAATAATTTAATTGGACCTTGAAAAAAGTCTTAAGACTTTAATTAGAAATATGTCTTATAATAGTGTCTTCACAAAGAAAATGATGTAACTAGCAACGTATCAAATATCCCCCCCCACAAATGCACTGTAACTTTATTTGTATAGCTTTTTGTTTTTTATTTCTAAGACAGGATCTCACTATGTAGCCCTGGCTGTCCTGGGACTATGTAGGCCAAGCTGGCCTCAAACACACAAAGATCTGCCTGCCCCATTCCTGAGTGCTGGGACTAAACGTCTGTGCCTATGCCTGGGTTGTTTGGATAAGTCCTAACCATTTCTGACTACCACCTGTTATGCTGCCATTATTAGGGATGGAACTTTGCTCGGTCTATTTTCCCCCTGAAAAAGTCTTACTGTGTAGCCTGGGCTGACCTGGAACTCAAACTCACAGAGATCTGCCAGCCTCTGCCTCCTGAGTGCTGGGATTCAAGTTACACATCACCACCCTGGGCTCTATTTTTAAGTTGTTACATGAACTGAATCTTTGAGGTGAAAAAGAAAAAGTCCAAAAGAATGAAAATAATTTTGTCATTTTCCCATAGTTTTATCTACTTCTAAAGACTTTTATTAATGATAGCCTAGAACCTTAAATGACTAATACCAAAGCCTCGTCTTATCCTTGATTATGCCGAGTCCTTCATCTGAAGTGCTTGAAATATCCATCTTTAGTACCGTTGCTGTCACACACTGCTGCAATGAACGTCTACTTTCCCCCTTCAGCAATTACTCCTTCTGCAGACAACACACCCCAGATCATGTAGAACTTGCTGTGAGCCTACAATGATGAGAGCATCGCAGGTGCCTGTTCACGTGACCACCATAACACCTCGAGGTGGACGTTACTGACTGTTTCAAACGGGAAAACTGAAACACAGGCCAACAAATAAAAGTAGGCAGTCTACCCACAGAGACCCATGTACAACACTGTGAAGCTGCTGTTAGTGGATTTCTTAGTAGGAAGCCACCACACCCTCACTACAGAGTTTCCTGTAAGGTTCTTGAACATGAACAGTTAGGTTTACTTGGGGTCTCTGATCCCATACAATTGTGTGTGTTTTCAGGGTCACAGCTTTTGTCAGTGTCAGCTAGCAGAGCTCATGGACAATTAACATAGCAAAAATGTTCTTGGTTTATGCAATCTAGTTTCAACCCTCAAACAGCAAGGATCTCAATAAAATTCCCCAGTTATGTGACAGACTATAATACCAGTAGTTAGTTGTGTGTATGGGTGCATTTCTTTAATCCCAGCATTTGGGAGGCAGAGGCAGGAAGATCTCTGTGAGTTCAAGACCAGCCTGGTCTCTACAGAGTGAGTTCCAGGACAGTCAGGACTACATAGTGAGAGAGACCCTATCTCATAACAAACAACAAACAAACAACCCATCTCCCCAAACAAACCAGCAATTAATTTATCATTTCAATTAAAATAATTAATAAAACTCTAGATATTTCATTGCAAAACAAAATCCAAAACCCTTCCATATATGTATCATACTAGAATCCTTCCCAGAATGCGCTATTAAGTCTAATGACATCACATTGGCTTTGAAACTTACAGCGCTAGAGAAAGTCATCCCCTTCTCTCCAATGAGGGCCTTGGTTTTCTTCAGCGGTGTCTACAAAGTAAACAATTCCTTGTTAAACAATATTTGATAAAGTATACAAATCAACGCTTGTGCTTTGTTACATCTTAGATTGATGTAACGCTTTGCCTGCTTGGGTGTGTCTGTGCAGTATGCGTACTCATGCAGTGCCCGAAGAGGCCAGAAGAGGGCACTGCGTTCTCTGGGAATGGACATATAGACAGTTGTTAGTGGCTGTGTGGGTGCTGGGAACCGATCCAGGTCCTCTGCAAGAGCAACAGGTGCATTTGCTTAACCTTTCAGCCATCTCTCCAGAACCTTTTGTTTTATATTAATCACCTATTTCCAGATGGTCTGCTCTGACACAAAGCAACAGAGCAATGGTTCTGTAGATGAAGCAAACAGGTTTGGTTACACTCAGGTGAACCCTAGGCACGCAGGAAGCACTGAGTTCACAGCTCAGAGCTGTGCTATCCACCTGACTGCAGGAAATAAAATCACAGTGCTTCCTCATTATTGCCAATAAGTCCCAAAGTATGAGATGATCTGAAAGGACACCTCCAGTCATTCACGGGGCAGTGGACAACATGTGGACGAAATATTGAAATGTCCGGGAACCAGACAAGATCTCAAGGCTCACAGGCTCTTCCAAGTTTACACATTCAATGACAGAACCCCGACAGATGAGGATTCTACTGATTAGCCCCCTGCAGGAGCACCTCAACCAGATGCTAGCACATGTATCGAGGTACACACAGACCTGTCAATCATGAGCACTACTATTTCAGGGCTAGGGATTGAATCCAGGGCCTGGTGTACCCAGGCAAGCCCTCTCCCACTGAGTGACATCTCCAGTCCTATTACTCTGTGTATAGTCTTGCTTTTCATCTTCTGTTCAAAATCTACAATTTTTAATAAGTACAGGGAAGTTAACTTCATCCTAGAGGACAGAAGTATGAAGGCAGTATTAACTATTAATAAAGATATACTGATCTTGTTCACTTTCTAGACATCAAAAACCACTACAGACAGGCGGCTCTTGAGGAGGTCTGTAAGATTCTGAGTACATCTGAAACCCAAGAACAGACTAAATCAATCTGAAGTCCACTTGGCACATTAATTCCTTAAAGATCGACTCTCCAAATATATACCTAGGCTCACGAAAGACTCACTTTCAACAACCTGTAATTTTCCCTGCCGATTTATAAGCGCAATCTGCCTAGAGTCTCCAAAGGACAATTTCAACTTGTTAGATCTCAACCTGTGGGCGGTGACCCTTTGGGGGTCAAATATCAGACATCCTGCATATCAGATATCTACCTAATGATTCATAACAGTAGCATAATGACAGTTATGAAATAGCGAAGAATATAACTTTGCGGTTGGGGTCCTCACGACAGGAGGAACGGCAGTAAAGATTGCAGCACTAGGAAGGGTGAGAACACTGCCCTAGAGAAAAACCTGAACCGAGAGGGAATTTAATTATCTAATTGTCTGATAAGCGTGCAAAACTACTAGACAATATTCGATTTACGAATAGACGGAATGTGTGACGACACATTTGCTAGTGACTTTGTGTGCCACACACTGATCTGGGCAGGCGAAGGTCAGTAGAAAACAAGACCACTTTAGGACCTGAACAACTAAAGGTAACCGATCACCCTCTGGTAGTGGCAGGCGATAAGGAAAGAAAGCAGGCCCACGTGACACAGCTGGTGGGAAGAAAACAGGGCCCAACTTCAGATGGGTAAAACTAGGAAGGCCCTTAAAGGATGGATCCTTCTGAGGGCTAGCTAAGGTCACTCATGGACCCAGGGAGCTTACAGGCTGAGCCACGTAAATAGCCCAACAGAGAAAACAGGAAGGAGCCAACGTGGATGAAACAGCTCAAGAGATAGGCAGGACGAGGTGAACACACAGGGATTTCAACTCAGAAGTTTACATTAATAATCTTTGCATGGCTGAACAAGTCCCAGGCCAGAGATCGAACTATACTGAAAATAATCCCAAGTGACAGTGGCTGGTCAGGTGGAAACCATGTGACAGTATTAAGAAATAGCACTTTTACTCCCATGAGCAAATGTGTAACTTATCATCCTGAGCAAATTCCCTTTCATAAACGCCAAAGACCTCATTGACTTTCCTGATCCTGCGTATCTGCACTCCGAACGTTCGATGACTAACTCCTTTGAACAATGGAGGTCGTCTTGGATTAGGCAACGCATGCCACATTTAGCCTTTCCCTGCATATCTGCATGGCTCCTGACCAAGCACCCCTTTTCCTAGAGTAAATGACTTCAAAACATGACCCGTGCTTTTCTGAACACCATACCCTAGGAAAACTAATAAAAGCAGAGTTCCTAGATGATACATGGGGCAAATACGGAGATTTAAATGTGAAAGATGATGTGACCACAAATGAGGGCGTTAATGAGAACTGACGGCTGGACAGATGGCTCAGTAGAAAAAGAGCACTGGCTTCGCTTTCAGAGACCCAGGTTTGATTCCCAGCACCTACACGGCAGCTCACAACCATCTCTAACTCCTGTCCCAGCACATCCAATGCCCTCTTCTGGCCTCCGCAGTACCAGACACAAACACATGGCTGCAGACACATGCATCATATGGGCGAAGCACCATGTTTTTAAAAAGCATGGTGCATACCTGTAATCCCAGCTCCTGGGAGGTAGAAGCAGGAGCATCTGAAGTTCAAGTTCATTCTCAGCCACATAGCTATGGAGTCATCCTGGTCTATGCTGGACAGTTTTATGTCAACAAAGAAAATGCCTCCAGTAGATTGGGCCATAGGCATTTTCCTAATTAGTGATTGACAGGGGTGGGTCCAGTCCACGGTGAGTGGTGCCATCCCTGGGCTGGTGATTCTGGGTTCTATAAGAAAGCAGGCTGAGCCAGCCATGAGGAGCAAGCCAGTAAGCAGCACCTCCGTGGCCTCTTTGCACCAGCTTTCCTCTCCAGGATCCTGCACTGTTTGAATTCAAGCCTTGGCCTCCCTTGATGGACTGCCTATGGATACATATGCCAAATAAACCCTTTCCTCCCCAAGTTATTTCCGTTGTGGATTTTCATCACAGCAGCAGCATCCTTAACTAGTGCTGTAATTCTAAAAAGCAGCTCCAGAGAGAAAGATGCCATGTGACAGAGCTTGGGTGGAGGGTTTTTATTAGGGGAAAGTGAATGGGAAAAGGGGGGAGGGGAGAGGGGAGACCCATCTCTGGGGACAGGAGCAGCAGAAGAGACAGGCAGAGAGAAGGAGAGACAGAGAGGCAGAGAAGGGGGGGAGAGGAGGGAGAGAGGGAGGGAGGCAGAGGAAAGAGGAGAGGGAGAGGAAGAATGAGAGAGAGAGAGAGAGAGAGAGAGAGAGAGAGAGAGAGAGGGAGGGAGGGAGGGAGGGAGGGAGGGAGGGAGAAGAGGGAGAGGAGGGAGAGGGAGAGGAATGGGAAAGTGACTGTGCACAGGTGGTGCTCTTAGTGGCTGCAGCTAAGGATGTATCCTGTCAGAACCCCAAGGGCAGGTCAGCACAGATGCCTGAATGCTAACAGCTGGGACAAGGACTGTCCTGAAAACAAGGGGAAAAAAAGTTCACAGTAAGTGAAAACCTTGTGACATCAACCTTTGATCTGAGCCAGTGTGGGTGTGAGTGTGTGGGGTCCCAACCGCTTACTTTGCCATCTATTCCAGCAATCTGAAGCATAATTCCTTTTCTATGGTAAAGACACTATACATAAGGTTCTACACATAAATTAAGGAATGTGGGTGACCTCTCTCTCTGACAACATTCCAAAATGCCATGGAAGACTCAGGCCACGGTGCAAAGTGCCTACGTGGGTGTGGGTATTCCAGACGACACTAGCAAGGCAGGGTTACCACAGTGTTCTAGCAAAGCAAATAAAACTGTTGTCTCCACAGCTTCTGTGAGGTTAGAAGCACAAACACAAGACGACACCTTACAGCCTGCCTAGAACCAAGGAGCTTCTTGAAGAGCATTACTGCCTCACCTTGCCAGTCTGGTATCCTGACACTTAGCGTCATGGTTCTGAAAGGGACTGCAAGAAAAGTCAGAGTCCTCTGAAGGGCCAGGGGCTGAGCACACACACACACACACACACACACACACACACACACACACACACACACACACACACCATTTACTTATTTAGCATGGGTGCTGGTGCCGTGGCACTTGCAGGATTCAGGGATCTGAACTCAGTTGTTGACAGGCCCAGCGCTAGAAGCTTCAAACTTAACTTGTTCCCTCCATTTGGTTTCTCAAGTGAGCACAAATACTTAGAGGAGGAGGAGGGAGGAGGAGGAGGAGGAGGAGGAGGAGGAGGAGGAGGAGGAGGAGGAGGAGGAGGAGGAGGAGGCGGCAGCAGCTGGGGCTGGAGAGATGGCTCAGTGGTTAAGAGCACTGGCTGCTCTTCCAGAGGACCCAGGTTCAATTCCCAGCACCCACGAGGCAGCTCACAACTGTCTGTAACTCCAGTTCCAGGGGGTCCAACTCCCCCATAAAGACATGCAGGTCAAACACCAATGCATGAAAACAAACCAAGCAAAAAAACCCTAGGGCCGGTGAAATGACCCATGGAGCACAAGGTAATTTGCTGCCAAGCCTGAGGACTTGAGTTCAGTTCCCAAGACCCACGGGGAGAATGACCCCTCCAAGTAGTCCTCTAACCTCATGCTCTGTGCCATGTGCACCCCACCCTGCCCCCAAACACACAGCCTGCTGGTACAAAGAAGCAAATGGAAAAAAAAAGCTATCCAGAGGCGCGTAATACCTCGACTACACACAGACAACATCTGGGCTAAGTGAAAGCCACCGGACTTTATAACTTACATGTAAGAAGTCAATTTGGTTTTCGACAGTGGTATCAAGCCAAGACCTGTTGACTGCTTTAGTCACTGGTAGAGGCAGCTTTTTTTTTTTCCTGGACAAAACACTCTTTAAGGATACCTTTTTGTTTTTAAAGCTTTGAAGTCCCAGCCACTATGAGGTAGGAGACAGGTCTCTGTGAGTTCAAGGTTAGCCTGAGCGACATAGAGAGACTCTGTCTCAAGAAAACAAAAAAACAAATGAGAAGGAAGGACGGGAGGGAGGGAGGGAAAAAGAAGATCTGGGGGCAGGAGGCTGAGGAACAGCTAGAGTGATAGTAAAACCTAAAACCTAAGGAGGGAAACTAAGTCAAGACTCTGGGTACAGGAAATGGAGGTCAGTTCAGCGGGAGAGCACCGTCTCAGAATGCATGAGCTTTGGGTTCTGTCCCCAGCACTGAGGGAAAAAGAGCTTCAGCACCCTCAGGACTCAGTGGAAACTACAAAGCAACAAGGCCATGGGGTCTACGTGGGGGAACAGAGAGGCTGTGGGTGTGGTCGTGCGAGCACCTAAACACGACCTAGAAGAGACAGGTCCACTGAAGACCATCCACACATTACTTCACGGCCTAAAACATATGCTCTGCTTACCACTGTCACATGCGACACCCGGAAAGCCAAAATGCTGGCAGCCAGTCACTCACCAAACTGATTTCACAACTCACGGACCGGCTGCGACCAGCGGCTTGAAGGGCACTGAGCTAGGGTTATTACCACACAGGAAATGGTAGGACCCTGCCGCTTCGAGAGCTTTCAGCTTCAGCCATCAGCTGTGAGCAAAAGGGGAACCGAAAGGAGAGAGGAAACTTTTTCTTTTCAAAGAGAGCAACGCTGACCCAGGACGAAACCAGCGGAGGTTCCTGCTTCGGTGCCTTGGGCAAGCCCTCGGTGCAAGGGGTGGGGGGGGGGTGTTGTGTGGTGGATGTTCCCAGAGGTCAAATTCCTGAACCTCGAAAGAGCAGAAGTGACTCTGGGAAGGGAATGAAGTCTCATGACAACACCCACTGCATATAAAGCGGAGCCCTGACAGTAATGCCCCAGCCAGGTGTTCAATTAGGCTGGTTTTTTCCTTTCCCTTGATGCTTAAGCAAAACACTCTCTTCTCCCAACAGCCTCACAGCCTACTTTAGTTCCTATCATCACTTATACATCAGAGAAGCACAAACGCCGGCGACTCAGGTCCTTCGAGAAGGGGCGGGGGCGGGGGGAGCCGACGTGGTCTCGCAGCTCCCTCATCAATGCCTGGCCTCCACAGGTCTGCCCTGAGCGGCTGAGTGGATGCTGCAGCGGGAGGGTCCGCACCAGAGTGCACTTGCGGGTGAGCCCAGGAGAGGAAGGCGAGCCCTTCCGCCCGTGCGAACTCACGGAGGGCCCGGAGTGACCGCGCACACCCACCCACGGCCAAGGCGGCTGGCAAAGGGGGCTCGGGGAGGGGGAGGGCGTGGAGAGGGGTTACCATGCCGCCGAGCTCCGCGTCTTGGTCGTCGGTGAGCAGCAGCAGCACGTTGGGCCTGCGAGCCGCCCCGACGAGCCCCAGGCAGGAGCTCAGCAGTATCGACAGCAGCAGCAGCAGCGCGGGCGAGCGGCCCGGCCGGGGCCAGGCTGCGGACACCAGCCGCATGGCCACCGCGCTCCGCGGGGACCGAGAGCGACCCACAGATACCGAGTGTGCGCAGGCCGGCCGGGTCAGGTTTTCTCTCCCTAGGCGAGATCACGTGAAGCGGGGCAGGGGGCGGGGCGCGCCGGCACGTGACGGCGGCCGGGGGCGGGGCCAGGGGAGCGGTGGAGCGCCCCAGGGCGCTGGGCGGCTGGCTGGATGGAGAGGGCTAGGACCGCGGGTAGCCGTGGCGGTCCCTCTCATCAGGCCTGTTTCTGGTGCAGGAGGGGGTTGGGGATGAAGTCAGGGTGCAGTCGGCTCGCCTGCCCTCCGGAGAGAAGGAAAGCGTCTGCTTTAGACACAGATCAGCTGGTAGCTAAAGTCCCGGCTAATCCCCGGGGTTAATGAACTGCTAATGCCTTCGTCCTTTGACTTTTCACTTTTGGAGATGACGTTTTCATTTGGCTCAGCTGTAGTTTAATTCTACTTGGCTCAACTGGGATGTTAGTTTCTAACAATTTAGGGCTGTCTTAACAAGTTTATGCCAAATAGTTCTTGGTGGAGGATGTTGTAAAAGTTAATTATATTTTAATATACATTTATTCTGGTGGGTTTGTGTGTGTGTGTGTGTGTGTGTGTGTGTGTGTGTGTGTGCTCATGTACATTTCACGCCATGCGTGTGGAGGTCAGAGAACAATTTGCTGGAATCAGTTCTTGCCTTCTAGTGAGTGAGACCAGGGAATCGAACTCAGGTCTGCCGCAGGTGTCTTTGTGTGCTGAGTCATCCTGGCCAGGCCCCTTTGGTGAGTTTTCTGCCAGCCTTCCTGGAAGCTTTTAGAATGTGCACGATCAATTGCAATGGATCTTTTGCTTTGCCGAGTAAGGCCTCAGATAAATATTTTCAGTTGGCTAAAAAGTTAAATTGCTATTAGGGTTTCCGGTAAGATTAGTGTACAGTATACCATATGAGTATTTGTTTTTAATGAAGAACAGATTGTATGCTGCTATTTGCCGTTTACTTAGGCATTGGACTTAGTACCTTTATATACATATATTTAAAGATTTATGTGTATAAATGTTTGCCCGAGTGTATGTTACTATGCTTGCTCAGTTCCTGGGAAATCAAATGGGAGCTGATCCCTGGGACCGGAGCTGGTCGTGAGGCACCTTGAGGGTTGCTGGGAGTTGAAACGGGTCCTCTGCAAGAGTGACATGTGCTCTTAACCAGGAGCCATCTCTGCAGCCCATGAGTGAAAGTTTAAAGATGTTTTTCTCATGAGATTAATTTTTTTTACAATTACTTAGAGTGTGTGTGTGTGTGCGCGCAATCAGAGTTGGTTCTCTCTTACCATGTAAGTATCAGGGATTGAACTCAGGTTGTGAGTTTGGTGGCAAGTGTCTTTCCCTGTGGAGCCACACTTGAATTTTGAGAGACTTGCTTCTGTGTAAGATACCAGTCAGGATAACTCATCGGTGAGGAAGCCAGGCTAAGGCTGCCTGTGTGGAAGATGTGGCAGCCATCGCTGTGAGGAGGGCTGGAGGTGTTTTCCCAGAGGGAGAAGGCCAGGGTCTCCAGGAGCAGGCAGATGATTACCGGAGGTCAGGGAACACATCGCAAGCGGTGCTACCCTCAAATAAAGCAAGGCTACATTCGGATAACCATGCTTAAACACACCTTTCAGTCCATCAAGCTAGCTGCAGGGGACCTCCCTTACCTTCCAGAAGAAAGCCCCCAATTCTTAGGACTATGAAAACTAGTTAATAATATGAAATTTATGCTCTCAGTGAAACTACAGAGATGTCTAAGCAGAAGAACGTGACTCACAGCCAGGAGGAAACGGTTGCCCTGGATACATAAGTGATGGGGAAGAAAAAGGCAGCAGGCCAGGACCCCAAAGCACCTAATGTAACTGTTCAAGGTTTTGTTTTACATGAAAATAATAAATACAGAGAGGCCAGGACCCCAAAGCACCTAATGTAACTGTTCAAGGTTTTGTTTTACATGAAAATAATAAATACAGAGAGGCCAGGACCCCAAAGCACCTAATGTAACTGTTCAAGGTTTTGTTTTACATGGAAATAATAAACTAACAGGGTGTGTTTTGTTGTTGTTGCTTTTTAAATTTACTAGCATGCTATCCCAAATAATCCACTGGAAGAATTAACAGATTAAACAATGGGAGGGGAACACAAAGCAGAGATGAAAATTAAAATGTACAGAATCTTTGTGATCTATGAGACACAACCATGTAGTCCTCCACTCATAGACAGGGAGTTAGGGAAAGAAGAAAGAATTTTTTGAGGAAATAATAGTTTCAAAATGTCTGAATTTGGAGAAAATAAGATCCAAGAAGCTCAACTCCATGCAGAAAAAAATGAGACTTTCCCCTACAGGCTTGGTAGTAAATACCTGTAATTGCAGCTCTTAGGGAGTTGCGGAGTCGGTGGCAGCCAGTGGGGAAGGAAGAATAAGAAATGCCCAAGCATGTCCTCAGATGGGGTGGGGACCTGGGAGATTGGAGCCTAGAAATAAGGCAGACTGCTCTCAACAAAACACCAATGCACCATGCAGCACTGAAAGCGAGCTCACAGAAGGGAGGTTTCAAGTCAATTCCACTTTGGTTTGTCTAGGTCTCTGTAAAATGTGTACCTTCGGCATCAGGATCTTACCCTCTAGTTATGGCAGGCAAACAAAAACAGTGTCAATAGTCCCCATTGCTTTGGGGGCCTCTGGGGCCTCCCTGACCGATAATTCATAGGGAGAACCTAACACCTGGCACTTGGATTTTAACTTAAAAACTTCTCAGAGAAGGATTGTCTACCAATTCAGGGTACCTGTGTTCAAACGACATTTAAGAATATGTTTTGTAATTAAGTAGTGGGTTTCCATAAGGGTTTTTCTTTTTCTTTTTCTTTTAATTTTTACTTTATGTGCATTGGTGTTTTGCTTGTATGTATGTCTGTGTGAGGGTGTCAGATCCCCTGGAACTGGAGTTACAGACAATCGTGAACTGCCATGTGGTACTGAACAGCCAGTGCTCTTAACCACTGAGCCATCCCTGCAGCCCCCTCCATAAGGGTTTTTCATGCATGCTTGGAGTTCGATGGTAGACAGCAGGTCTCTAGGCTTGTTCATCTAGCATAACTGTAACTCATACTCGCCAAACACTGACTCTCCATTCCCCCTCCTCTCAGCCCTTGACAATCACCTTCCTATTGGCTGCTTCTTGAAGTTTGACTATTTTGTTTTATTTTCTAATTAAAGAAAATCACTTGATGGTAATGATGTCATAAATAAAACTGCCACATGACTCAGTCCCCAATGCTGTACATCTCAGTGACCATCTGTACCATTAAAATGACCATTCTAGAGACCTGGAGCTTTGCTTGGAGCTTCAATATCAATTGCCTTTTATGAATATTTATGCACTGTGACAGAGCTGAAATTAGAAAAGCAATTAGCTTTGGGCCGGGCGGTGGTGGCGCATGCCTTTAATCCCAGCACTCGGGAGGCAGAGGCAGGTGGATCTCTGTGAGTTCAAGGCCGGGCTGGACCGATAGCCTCCAAAACAATACAGAGAAACTCTGTCTCGTAAAAAACCAAAAAAAAAAAAAAAAGCGATTAGCTTCATATCCCCTTTGACAAGCTGTGTCCGTTTGCCTGCATTCTATCCTGTTACCTCATACTTCCTTTTTTTGGTCTCCTTTGGAAACGTTACAGCATATCCACATTCACAGATGATTATATATATATTGCACGTATACAGGTCTGAGTACTTTAGATAGTACTTTTGTGAGTGGGGTCTTCTGTGACTGATGGATTTCATTGCAATAACATCGTCAAGGTTCATCCACGCTTTGTAAATGGAGGCTTCCCTTCTTTGTAAAGACTAAACAGTAGTAACCCGTTTCTTTATCATTCTTGCCTGATGAGATGGTCTTAGGTAATGTCATTGGCCATTCCGTGTGATACCTGAATACCCACATGCATGAAGTTTAGTTGTGGCTGCAGGAGCACACGAAATAGGCTGTTCAATTCAAAGTACACCAGGGACAGAGGCCCAGAATGGAAGTAGACAGGGACAATATACCCCCAAGAACCCACACCCAGCTAGACTCTGCTCCCCAGCTTCCAGAAACTCACAAAATGGTGTCACTATTTGGGTTACAATCCCACTGGTGGCATTACACATTCAAGCCACAGGGTGCACTGTTCTAAACCCTAAGGGGGGACGTTTGTGATGTCCTCTCTTCGCTCATCTCAACAAACCGTAGCTGACTTCCAAAATCAATCCTTAGAAGAAGATGGAGTTCTAGCCTGCAAATGGTCAAAGCAAAGATGTGCATGAAGCCAGAAAAGGGAAGCAGAAGTAAGCAGGTGCTTCCCATTGAAAAGGCCTCAGGATCTGGGCTCCCTCAGATTCTCTTCAAGTCTATTCTCTTCAAGTCTAAACTTAAACCTGCAGCCTCCACCCATTTCTGTCCCATAGGTTTTCAATAGAAGGAGCCATTAGTAGACGGGCCAGGTTCCTGTTGTGTCCCAAGTAATTGCTAAAAGAACTTCTTAGGCAAAGTGTGTAAACCAATACAGAATATTTCCCACAGCCTGGTGTGGCAAACTTCTCAAGTTCACTAAAGTGCTCATTCAGCACAATCCTTTTGAGGACTTACTGTGTCCTTAATATGACCAAATCATAGTCGGCTGACTTCAGAGTCTAGGAGTTAATCGCTCTTGGAATTTCACAGTTTGTAGTGCTTTTTCAAGAAAAGCACACAGTTAGCACTTGAAGATACCTGGACGTGGCTAATATTGAATGATACCAGGGTTCAAAGGACACTCCGAAGGGGCTCCAGGTTCTTCTTTTTCCAAAACAAGGAATTGATGAGAGACAGCTTCAGAAGAGGCCAGGATTGTATGTGTATGTACATACATACATACACACATACATGTTGGGTCTAAAAATGGCTTGGCTGAGAGGTCCAGTGTAACCTCCTGAGCCTTGCTAGAGTTTGGTGACCTGTCTTTGACCTGTAGCCTCCACCATGTAGGGGTGACTCAGCCAGACCTGATGGAAGACTGCCCCCTGCCTAGCTACCTGCCAGCTTGGTGG